AAAGTCAGCTGTTTTCATTTTCTGGAACTGCCCAGGGTAGCTGGAACTTTCTGGGAGATGTGGCCCAGGTCTGCACTGAAAGTAATACCACTTAACCCTGTAAGCTTTTTGTCTTCCAGCTGCTTTAGCAATAACAGCACGCCAAAGGTGTATGCATCTCTTACGTTAATGGTGGAGCTACTGCCCTTGTCTTAAGGTTGAGCAGGTGGAGGGATGTGCTTAAATGCAAATCAGGTAATCAGGGTCAGTGCCAGGATTCAAAACCTGAACTGCTGCTCTTGGTACTTGAGACTTCTGTCTTTGTTTCTGCCCTAGTCAGTGAAGCCTGTGACACCGGCTTTACTCAAACGTGTGGCTGATCCTGAGTCTTACTAGCATCTAGCATGGTGCCCATTAATCTTGTTTGCTTGGGCCTCTTGTGTGCATTTTTCTGTTCTTGTGGGTCACATCTGGTACCTGAAATCACTTTTTCAGTACTAGTTCATTGCTAATATATGCCCAGAGGCACGGTGGTGGTGTGGTGCAATAAATTTGATTAGGGTCTGTATCTCTTCCTCTTTTCCATTTTGTGCCTTTTTTCTTGTCTTTGCAGAGGGAAAATGTTGCTTCAAATACTTCTTACATTTAAGGAGAAATGTTTTGTCTCTGTGGCTGGGATCTCTTAAAATAAGTATTGCATCCTCTGCAGTTTCTAGACAGAAGGACTTGTGTGTGGGAATTAGACTGTGACCCTAGTACCTTACATCTGAGCTAAACTCCTTCTCAGCAGATTTGCTGTTACATGAAATTTGGATAGGATTCTCAGACAGTTCTCCTTCTAGGAGTAATAGCTGACATGTGGTGGAATTTTCCATTTTTTCTTATTCAAAACCAAGAGAACCACACCTTCTTCCTGGGGCCCAAAACGTATCCATCTGGCTGCTGCTCTGCTCTGCTTCTCTCTTCACAGAGGCACTTGGGCTGTTCAGCTGCTATAATCCTCCCCTCTCCCCCTTATTCCTCCCACTTCTATACCAAGTTCACTGATTTTCTGCCACAAGGAGTTAGTAAGAAATGACATGGAAAAAATCAGAAATTTATGTGTATTACAAGCAGGCAAAGGACTTCTCTGTTTCCAATAGAAAGCCAGTTGCTCAGTGGGCAGAATAACAGGTCTGGTCATTAATTTATGTAAATGGCAACAGGGCTGAATAGATTTGGAAGTCATTCATTGTCTCAAAGATGGAGATAATAATTTGGAGACTCTGACAAGCCTGAGTGGTATGTTCCGTAAGTGAATATAGTCACTGTCTTTCCCAACAGGAAGAGTTCCAGAAAATCCCTGTATTGCTTCAGAAGTGCCCTGCCATGGCACTGTCAAATATGCTTTATCATAAGTTTTCCTACCTGAAGTACATGGCTGTCTAGCGACTGGAATTTTAAATAAAGTCTCGGAGACAAATGAAAAGGAGTAGCTTTGCTTTCTCAAATTGACAGCTACTGGTGGTGGGCTACCTGATGCAGTTTTGCTCTGGAAACTTATTGGGAGAAAGGATGATGCTCTTCCTCAAAGGGTAAGATGCTGTATTTTACTGCATGTGAAGTGGGAAGACCACCATAATATTGAGCTAAAATGGGGACAATGAATGCTGATAAATCCTAATAGCAGTTCCTACAACATCTAGCAGAATATAAGTAATAAGCACAGGTCCAGGGAGTGTTTCTAGTGACAGTGGAGGACCTGAAACCTATGGTCTGTGGAACTGAGGCTAAAATTGTCATCCACTCAACAGCATTTTGTTAAGGTTGCATGGCTGTTTGCTAGTTATCGGTTCCATGTAGATCTCTGAAACTTGTTTGCCTGCCCTGCTGAATAGGCATCAGGTATTTTCCATTTTGTAGAGAGCCCTGGGAACTGCTGCTCCAAAGACTGGACACGTACTGCTCTTTAGTCCACCCTTCAGCCCAGGTCTTTTTTTGCTTCTCACTTGTCCTTTTCCTTCATTTTGGAGCCAGTCTGCCTGCTGACCCAAAGCTCCTGTTCACTTTTTTACATTGGGTTTCCAAAGGCCTTGACTTTTCTTCCTGCCTCTGAAAGGAACGGTGCATATTCTGAAACACAGCTGCTGTAATGGAAGCAATAGATGATCAGTTAACCTTCTTTTACCCATAGTGAACATCTAGCCTTTCCAAGGCTTTCATTTCAGGAGCAACCTTTTCAGGAAAAGGCTTTCTGTTTTACTTTTTTGAGACTACTTTTTTCCCCTCCTCATACCTCATCTCTTAGAATTGGGGCTGCTTGATGCGTCTTTCTGGATCACATAGAAAGTCTTGATGGCATGAATGAAGTAGTGCCTTCGGAAATGGAAAAATCTTGTGAAAGGCAGGATGTGCTGCTGAGTGAGTCCCCAGAGTGACTCAAGATATTCAGGCTCATTTCCAAGGCTCACTGCCTGACCTTGGGCAAATCACTTTGTTCCCTGCTTCTAAAAAGAAGATACTTAAAAAAGGAAAGAAGATCCTTAAAAAAAAGAAAACAAATGATTTAAATGTGCATCAAGAATAACCATATTTAATTACATGCATTAAACTTGCATACAGTTCTCTTCAAGATAAAATGCTAGGATTATAAATTCTTGGATTACTGTCCTGCGCGAGGGAACCTTGCCTTCACCTAAGCTGCTTGTTTTTATCTGTAGTAGAAGTCCTGAACAAGAACAAAATGGCAGAGTTAGAAGCAGCATCTGTTGATGTGTGTATAGCACTAGGAGACACCCTTTGGGTCACAACATACATTCTGCTTTCAGGTGCTTCTTGCTTATTTGGCAAAGCTTCCTTTATTCAGCAAATGTAGTACATATCTCTGGGGGAGTGGTATTTGTGGGGTCATTGTTTCTTGGCTGGGGTAGAAGAGGATGTAGAAGCAAAGACTTTGAGATGTTGCGTGGTAGATATAAAATTTGTTAATTTCATTTAGATCTTTGTTATTATGAAAAATGTCAGTTCACTATGTCAAACATGTGAAACAGTCCTATCTATTTCTCTCTAGAGAAAATGCAAATCAGATTTAATTTAGATTTTTGTTTAGCTTAATGTCAAAATGCTGCCTTAACCTTCCACAACACAAACTTCCTTGGCAAGACCTGTGTTCAAAAACTGCCTGAGTAAATGAGTGCACACAGCAACACACTTGGAGGCAGGCTTTCTGTAAGAATAAATGGGTGAGCAGAATTCAAAGGCCCAGATTTCCATTCTCTGGTCACCAGGAGGAGGAAATGCAGGGACTATTAGGTCACCATTCAGATGATCTCAAGTGCAGGCTCAAGTTCAATAACAGAACTGTTCATGGTCTGCACCTTGGGCAGACTATATAGAAAAAGCCAGGGGGAGTCAGGAGCACAGCTTTGAAGGATTGGCAGTAAAAGAATGATGGAACTGCTGTCTTGCTAGATTCATCTGCTATGCTGGAGGGATGATTGGAGCATTTGTTGAATCAGCCTGTATTAAAAATAAAACATGAAGTGAATAACAGATCAGTAAATCTGCATATACTATTAACCAGCTGAAGTGGTCATTAAGAATAAACCACACGGTGATAGTGAAGATAACAGTCCACAGAACTCTGGCCAGATAAAATCACACCTCATTAATCTTTTGGATGTTCTGGTCATACCAATGTAAAAGCTACAATACAAGATGAAGGGCTTATGTCACTTTGCTGTTCAAAGAAACCTTTGACCCAGACCTTCACAAGAAATACAGAGCTGGCAGTCTATGGGTCAGGTACACAATAATGTTACACAGCAGGGAATGACTAAGATTAAAAAAAAAAAAAAAAGCATTATTTTGGTCAAGCTGTTCTTCATAACCAGATGGGAAGAAAAAAACCCAAGAAACAAGTCAAGCGGAGGAGTTTTCTTCCAGACATGTTTTGCTTGTCTCTTGAGTTTCTGCAAGAGAGGGAAGGCAATGCAATTATACTATTCTACTGATGAAATTGTTAGGATATTTACAGTGGCTTAACAAGTAGTTAGAATTAGCATTTAATTATTCCTTCTTAAACCTAACAGATCTAACTAAGGAAAAGCTTTATTTCAGTATGCACTGTAGGGACTGAAGTATCATTTAGAGTGGTTAAAATCTATAGCCTTTTGCCAGTTTTATCTTATTTAAGGTACCAGAATAGTGTTTCAGTGGGCATGACCAATACTTTTATTGTTCATACCAGCCCTCAGCATGGGACCAATTTCACCCATCGAGTATGTTAAAAGTTCATTCCATACAGGAAATAAGTGCATGCTTGTATGAATTAAATATCCATGGAGACTGTCTAATGCAGTCTCCAGGGTTGTGTCCTGGGTCTAGCCTCTGACAAACTCCATAGTGTCATCCTTGCTGACCATTACTCTCCCTGGAGTGGACATCATCGCCACAAAGAAAATAAAAGTCCATTGAGAGTTGAGTAGCAGGAGAGTTTTGTGCTGATGGGCATGGGTGAAATTGATGGCTGCTGGGGCCTGGTTGCATAGTTTTATTAGGGGACTTTCTAGACAACCTCCCAGAAAGGAGAAAATGAATGTGCTCATCAGGAAATTGCTTTTCTGGGAGATGGCCTAATCACTCATATTGCAGAGAGGCAGGCTGCCTTTTGCAGTCTCTCTGCATCACCATTACCATGCATGCCTGCAGTGTGCAATTGGAGCAGTCTGAAAAATAAGGACAGTATGTCTGCTGGGTTATATTGAGTGTGAACAATTGGTAACCTTCAGGGATTTGTAACTCAGCCAAGCCTAGGAATGTGCCTGTGAGAATACCAAGTAGCTCCTGCAAGCCAGGGCTGTGTCCCTGCCAGAGTGACAGCCTCCTCCAAAACGATAGTGGGTTGTGTACTGGTTTAAAAGTAAATATCTCATGCCTCTGCTGCCTTTTCAGCTTAGGTGTAACACATGAAGACTGCATCCTTTTTTCTCCCCCCAGGAGCCCAGCTTTAATCCAAAATCTCCTCTCTTGTTTTCATGCAGGGATCTACCGCACAGAAAAAGACAAAGGCACCTTGTATGAGCTGACTTTCAAAGGAGACACAAAACACCAGTTTAAGAAGATTGTTTTATTCCGGCCATTCGGTCCTGTAATGAAAGTGAAAAATGAAAATGTCAATATGGCTGACACGCTTATTAATGTCATTGTGCCATTGGCCAAGAGAGCCAGCAAATTTCGGCAATTCATGCAGAATTTCAGGTGGGTTTCCATTCCAGTGCTGCCTTTGCTTTTTCTTACATGGAAAGTAAGATACAATTTCAAGACCTTTCAAGGCCTCACTCAGTAAAAGTCATACTACTTTTACATAACATTTCATTGTGCCACTAAGAAGTCATTTTTGAGATTATAGAGACTGAAAGGCATTTGGCTACTTAATGTATTGTGATTAGCAGTAAAAGCAATTATATTCCAGTCATCAGGGTTTCTGATTTGCACGTACCTGGTTTATGTGTCTCAATCTGTTTTGTTGGGGCACACACAACTGTGGCAACAAGAGAATTTCATGCCATTAGTTGCAAAGGAACATTTATTTCTAAGGGAAAAGGGAATTAGTGCTCCCAGACACTTTGCCAGGCCCTGTTAGAGAAAAGATTAAGGCAATAAGAGGCAAGAAGGAAATGTATTTGAACTTTCAGGATAGTTACTTTTAAAATTCTTTTATTTTTCAGCACAGAGATGATGTTTAGAGAGAGAATTTAATTGAGACGTAGCTTTAAATAGCTGCCCAGAAAAGACCCTGTTAGCAACAGATACTGATTCTTACAGTGGGATTTGTTTTGCCTAATTACAGTCATCTAAAAATAGGTTCCTTGTCTAAATTAGCGATCTGATAGTTTCTTCTTTTAGGATGGGAGAAGTCACCCTCTGGTCATGCTGATCTCTCTGCTGATTATAGATGAACTCTTGCTGACTAAACTTTGTGCAAGTGAGTCATGATATCTAGCATTAGGTCAGATTGGTCCTACCCTTAGGCTACTGGCTTGATCTCTGGTTGATACTTAGATTTTAGTAAATGTTTCTTAACAAAACAAAAGATCTGAACTCTGGAATATCTGTTACAAAAAAGGTTAAGAGGTAGGGTATGTATAGCTTCTTTAAAATCTCCCTTCTCATATTCTCCTAAGTGCTGGAGTTATTGCCTGCCCGATCATTCTTCCTGGGGCTGGATGGCCTGTTTTAATAATGTTCTCCTATTAGTATAACAAACATTGCTTAGAGAGTTTTTTCCTAATCTGCCTGAAAGATAGTCTTCTGTCCCATCTGACAGAGGCAGTGAATCCCTTTGTCAGGACAAGGATCTCTACCAGTGAATCCTGACCTCCGGAATGCCTTCCAAGGTTCACCCT